CATTTTCACTACCTAGGCATAACGCTGGTTTGCCAAATGGCTAGCCTCAAAGCTCCCGCTCTAAAAAACCCCTCTCTCCATAGTCGGGTTTGCAACTTCGCTGACACTAATTGCTGTTGTTGTTCTTCGCGCTCAAGTAAGTCCGCACCGTTGAAAAATTCTTCGCTTCACTTACTCTACTGAGCGCTGCTGTCTTTTTTTCTCTTTGCTTAATGTGTTGTATTTCCAAACATTGCCGCTGATTATCCTGATTCGTTCGAAGCTCAATTTTTTCGTTGTAGTGTTTTTTTTTAATTGTATAAATGCCTCATATGCATGCACAAAAAAAAATGTTAAATCCTCCTCCTTCATACTCTGGACCACTCTGAAACCATTTGTTGATTATGTACTTGTAGCTTTCGAGTGTAGTTAACTTTTCTTATCAGTAAACCGTAGTCGCTCGCCACAGTAGTTGCCCTTGCGACTTATTCCGACTCGCTAATCCTTTCCATAACTTTCTTTAGACTTTCGCCTCTTCCTACTATACTCAATTTGAGTGCTAACAACATTCTGCATCGCTCGCTCTCTTTCCGCCTCTTTGCTACTTTTCTTCGCTAGCTGCCCAATACATGATTTAGTTAGTTCTTAAACAAATTTCTCTCATTTCATGCGATTTAGTCTAGCACTGATATATGTATGTAATCTCCCATCTATCATTTCTTGTTTCTCTCTCTTTAATTCGTATTCAATTCAGCTAAGTAGTCCACCTTTTTCGTCTAATATTTTGCTCTCTCACGCACTATCCATATTCATCAAAGTTCTCCACAAGTTTCCTCACTCGCTCGCTCTCTCTCTTTTTGAAATCTGTAGGCAAACGCACGAACCGATCTCAGCACTATTCTTCAACCCAAGTTACGCACTTTATTTTATTGCTTTTTTTTGGCGTGTGAGTTCAGAGTTAACGCTTTAAGTAACATACAATTTTCTGCTACCAGTTTCCGACTGATGTCATATTTCAAGCGTGAAATATTTGTAGCAATTTTCATGCGGTGTTGCCAGTTTTCATCGTACTTCTCAACGTATTTTTTAGCTCAAGTTTCATTGACTATTCTGTCGCTTCTTCACTACTTTTCGCTTCACAAGGATCTATCGAATTTACTTGGCTACTCGCATTCACATTCTTTTTAATGGATTTCAGCACTATGTAGTTATATGGTATACGATTACATTTATGGTTATACTTTTATGGTATGGTGATTGTGTATATATGTGTATGTATAATAATTTTATTTGCTATTTAATAGAAGTAACACATCAAATGTCTCACAATTATAATGATTATATGATGATGTATGTAAATATTAAATTTTATGTATGTAAAACTCCATTTCTCGTAAGCAATCCAAATTGCATGCTACTACGAGTAAATATAAACAAATATTTTTTTCTTGTTGCTTGTGATGAGTCGCTGCTTGTTGTTAGTGTGTACTCAATCATTGGCTTGGAATATCTCTTTAAATTACGCACTTGTATCTTTGTTATTTGTTTTGTTATTTTTTTTAATTGTTCTTCGTATGTATGCCGTACTTATATGGTTATTATGCTAAACGCTTGCTTTGTTGCTTTACTACGTATTTCAACATTTATTACATAAAATACATGCATTTCGTAAATCTATGATATATGTACGTATGTATGTTTAGCGAGTTTGATTAAAAATTACCTTAAACGCCTAAAAGATCGCAATGCAATTACGCGTAGGTTCTACATGCTACGTTTTATATATGTATTAATGTGGTTATATGGGTGAGTATGAGTATGATTTCATAAATATGTATGTATGTTTGTGGCTGTTGTCATTTGCGCGATCTGCTTGAGCATCCGGCAGCTTTGGCGTTTTAATTTGTTGGTCGTTGAGCGCTAGCAGTAGGAAGCGTAAAGGTTACGTATCATTCTTTGCACACTTCATGATGTACATACTTTGTTCTCTCTTGACTCCGTACTTCACTCACTGCTTTCGCTCGCTCGTTGTAGAACTTATGTACAATACTCTCTCAATTTTCCTTCTCTCTCTCTCTCTCACACTTGCCTTGGAGTTCATACTCTCCTGCGAAATTCCTACTCTTGCATTCCTCTCTTTACTTTTACCACGCACTTCTTACGTTCCATACCGCCTTCCTACACTTCTACAAGCCTCTTTTCCCCAAGCACATCACTCCGATCTGGTGTTGCCTTCCTCTCATCTTTCCTACTCTCTGTCTGTGCATGCCTTCCGCTCTCTATGAACCGTTAACGCTTTCCTTCCGCATTCAACGCAGTTGTTTCGCTCTCAGCTACCGTGCTCTTTGTTGGCTCGTTTGTGCGCGCTCGCCGTGCTATCGTCCGTTGTTTCCAAGCAGCTTCGCATATCTCTTAGTGTCTTTCTTCGATTTTGCATTTCGTTCGCGCATTGTGTTGCCACATTGCAGTTAAAATTATGCGTGGCGTTGTTGCCAAATTTCATGTATGAAATAATTTCAATTTCTGCTTACTTAGTTCCACACTTGCCTTGAGTTATTATTGGCTTAACTATTTTCGTTCTACAAATTTCTGCAGTTGTTGTTGCTACTATTTTGTTGTTATTGTTTTTAATGCTTCTGTGTGTGTGTTTTTAACGAAATTTCTCAACCTCCAAAAATATTGCCATTAGTTATTAGTGCTCGTTTTTTTTTTTTAATTATTTCTTATTGCAGCTGCCCGCCTGTGTGTTCAGCTATTCTACAGCTTTTCTACACTCTTTGCTGATTATCCTTCTGCACTTGCAAACCATTTGTACGTTTCCTTAGTCATCGAAAAACGCTCATAACATTCTCTTTCGCCTCTCAACCTCTAAGCTACTTTCCACTCATTCTGAACACATTCCACTCAGCATTGTTCAAACCTTCCATATCCATTACAGTGCTTTCGCTCTATTTCCNCGCTCATAATATTCTCTTTCGCCTCTCAACCTCTAAGCTACTTTCCACTCATTCTGAACACATTCCACTCAGCATTGTTCAAACCTTCCATATCCATTACAGTGCTCCATTCTCTTACTTCTTCTTCACACACTTCGGCTCAAACTGCTATTCTCTTGTCTTAAAGCTTTCACGCGCATAATCAGCCTTTCTCTGTTTTACGATATTCATCGAACACTTTCTTTACTGCTGAGCCTTACTTTCGTTGCGTGAACTCCCATATCGCTCGCTCAGTCGAAAAATTTCAATATATTATCTAATTTGTTGCTTTATTTTTTAAATGTGTTTCACATTTCTCGCTTCTTTTGATTTCCAACATAATTATTCGCTCTTCAGTACTTTTCTTTCCATTCACTCACAATCTATTTCAGTTAGTCTTAACCACGCATGCTCTCTCACTTAGCATTAGCCGCTGTTTCTAAACTCTCTTTAATCCAATCCTTATTTTTGCCTATCTCTTGCTTTGCTCTTCACAATTGCTTTTCATTTCATTCACTTCCATTACCTTCTCATTCACTTATCTTTCCTTCCTTTTCCTTTTCGCTTTCTCTTTTTCGATTCTCTCGCTTCGCTTTTCATTCTTTTTTTTTTGTGAATTTTCTCGTGTTTTTTATTAAATTTCACTATATATGTAAGTACTTTAANTCCAATCCTTATTTTTGCCTATCTCTTGCTTTGCTCTTCACAATTGCTTTCCATTTCATTCACTTCCATTACCTTCTCATTCACTTATCTTTCCTTCCTTTTCCTTTTCGCTTTCTCTTTTTCTATTCTCTCGCTTCGCTTTTCATTCTTTTTTTTTGTGAATTTTCTCGTGTTTTTTATTAAATTTCACTATATATGTAAGTACTTTACAAAATTTTTTATAATATTCAAAGTTGGTGTTTTGGTTTTGCCTACATTTTGGTCTTACACCCATATGCTTCACTTCAATTTCTTTTAAAACTTATTTTTTTGTCACTCATTAACGCTAATTAATAATTTATACTCAATTATATCAACGTATAATTCAAATGATTCTTAATTAGTTTTTGTTTTTAATTTCTTAGTTTCTTGTGCTCTCATATTTACGTTGCCTATGGTTTTTTGCCACATTTTACTCATTTAAGTTTTGATATAACATTGATTTGTTTTGTAATAAATTTATATTAAGTCATTTTCATACACATTTCTACTACTTAATTATCATTAGTAAGCGTGAAGTGACAACTAAAAGAATCTATTAGAAAACATACATAGATATTTTTCAACTATTTAATGGTTTTAGTATCATATTTTTAATTAAAATTGTTTGTTAAAAATTTGTTTACATTTCTTATGAAATGCAATAAGTTTTTGTGTTTGAAAGTGTAGGCTGAGTAGACAGAATTG